AAGGATCCGAAAAGTTAGAGACACTCGTTGTTGCCTCTTCGTCGTCTCTGCCTATTCTCCAACTGACTGCAGCTCAGATGATGTAAAAGATGAGTTTTACAGAAAGCTTTCGGACCTTCTCCGAAAAGCTAGGCGCTTGGATGTAGTAATAGTGGCCGGTGACTTTAATGCTCAAGTAGGTAAACTAAGCGATAGGGGAGGACTCCTGGGTGGATCTTATAGCATCGTGGCTCAAAGAACAGATAATGGCGACCGTCTGTTGCAGCTATGCTCAGATAACCGCCTGTTCCTTGCAAATACTAACTTTAAGCATAAGGAAAAGCATCTTTTAGACACACATTCAGACGCCCCACAATCGTAGTATTTCTCGACCTTAAGGCGGCATTCGACTCTGTTGATTGTGAGGTTCTATGGCAGTGTTTGCCACTGAAAGGAGTACCAAAGAAGTACATTAACCTTGTAAAGGCTCTCTATTCGAACACAACTGGTAGAGTGAGAGCTTATGGCGAACTGTCATCAGAATTGATTACCTCAAGTGGTGTTCGTCAGGGCTGTCCACTCTCCCCATTTTTGTTCAACTTTGTGGTCGACGTACTTTTAGAGATAACACTCTCCTCGTCTAGATTTCCAGGGGTTGAACTTCTACCAGGAGGTTCACTTGTTGACTTAGAATATGCAGATGACATAGTTTTATTTGGTGAAGACGCTGACAAAATGCAGAGTCTTCTGACCACCATAAGCAACAATGCTAGCACGTTCGGCATGCGATTCTCTCCCTCGCAATGCAAAATGTTACTTCAGGATTGGGTTGCATTGACATCCGAACTAATAATATGAAGTGAAGTAGTTGAACGTTTCGACCGCTTCACTTATCTTGGAAGCCTCATCAGCCCTTGTGGTCTGGTGTGTGACGAAATCTCAGCACAGATACAGAAGGCTCAACTAGCTTTTGCCAACTTGCGTCATTTATGGCGTAGACGAGATATCCGTCTATCAACCAAAGGACGGGTTTACTGCGCAGCAGTTCGTTCCGTCCTACTTTATGGCAGTGAAACATGGCCGGTAAGAGTAGAGGATATACGTAGGTTACTAGTATTTGATCATAGGTGTCTTCGAAATATTGCTCGTATATCGTGGGACCATCGAGTAAGTAATGCAGTTGTTAGGAAGCGGATACTATGTGAGGTTGGCAAATCAATTGATGACGTAGTGAAACTTGATCAGTTGAGATGGCTGGGACACGTGTTACGTATGCCCAACGACCGACTGCCTCGACGTGCTATATTCAGTGGTATAGGAGTAGATTGGAAGAAAGCTAGGGGTGGCCAAACCAAAACATGGCACAAGTCCATGAAGTCACTGACAAGTGGACTGAGTCATGTTGGTAGGTGTAGACTACCTGGTTGGGGACCGCGAGATGATAGCAACCGATGGTTAGAGACCCTGAATGAAATGGCTCAAAATGGTTTGCAATGGTGCAGGTGCATCCACTCTTTGTGTCCTCCCAAATTCTAATCTGAATTCTTCGTGTCCCTTTTTTTCTCTTTCCAAATTTATTTCACTGTATTATACTCGTTGAATATCATCTTCAGACCCTAATTTTTCTGATTACAGCTTATAATTTTACTACATCTATCACTACTATATTTGAATCGACCACTGCATCTCTGTGCTAATGTGGTGTGGCAACTCGAACTGATGTACGTCCGTACGAAGTTCTACGTTGTTACTGACTGACTGACTTACTGTATTTCGGCATGAGATTTTATAATAAGACTGACCTGCTCGTGAAACTGTGTTATTTGTTCGTTGGTTTACATCACTAATTACTTTAAGTGGAGTTTTTCACTTGCTTGATATTTCCACTGTGAATAAAAAATAGGGTGAACAAATTCCCATATCTATCGATATGTTTTGAATGCGTTTGTAATCCCACCGACTTATGCATACTGTTATGGACAGCTCTACCTATCTGCGTAGTGTTTTAAAGTACCCATAATTATAAATCTTTTGTTCTGTAAATACTTGAAACACTATTGTATAGACTTTGATTCTTCTCTCCCCTACCTATAGGGATGGAGTTCCTAAATTTGTTAATTTCTGCTTTATATTGCCTAGCTATTTTAATTTTGAGTCACTCCTATATCATATTTTTATCATGGCGTTGTGAACCAATTTTTTTGTTTCAACATCAGTTTCATAGCTTACTCTGTATGATTCTTAGTATGCCATAAATGTATATTGCTCACTGTTCAAGTAGAAAAAACTATATGTCTTGTCTTTATTTCTGTACTATGATGATGTTCAACTTGGAGAATGCATTTATCACAGAAAATCACTTCATACTGAAAATTTGTGAAGATCGCTGAGATTTCCAATGATCAGATGATGATATTGATGATAAAACATATTAGTGTATAGCTTATTGCTTATTTTTGTTATTTATGATTATTAAGGTGACCGATCTTTTCCTTAGTCTTTTAGGTTTTTATTATTTTAAATTTGCTTGCATATATGTAGGCTTTTAATGGCAAATCTCATTTAAATACTTCTAAATATCGAGAATCGCCATCTGCCTTCCCTACCAGATCAGTCAATATCACTGATACGATTATTCAACAGCGTCCATTAGTTACAATTATTCGTGAACCAGGTGCTTTACGGGAAAAAAATATTACATTAACTGAAAAGGAAATAAAAACCCTACGTAAAAAAGTGAGTGATTTGGGAATTTTTCAACCCCTGTTATACAAATTTCTGGGTCACGATAAAAAGATCAATGAGGCAGCTAAAACTCAATGTGAAAGCTTTTTTGTTTTTAAATTTTCTTGACATTAATTTGCAAATTCGCATGGCATAATAATAACCCGAACAAAGTTTCATATGTTTATTTTTTGTCATATACTGGTGCTGAGTGATATCATTCTGATCCGAATTTTCTTTTAACTTTTCACACAGTTGGGTTGCTGCTTTGGTGGTCCTTAGACTACTGTTTCTTGTGTATCCCTGTTTTCATACCTTATTTCTAATCTATATTAATAATCATAACTGGTATTACTTTTGAAAATTGGATTTATTATACTTTGATTAAGATATTTTATAAAATATTCGAATGTTTTTTGATTCATTTAGTCTCTTTTGACTGATGACATTAATGACTACTCATCGACACCACATCATCATGCACATGCTACTGGAATCGACTCTTCATTTTCGCCGGACTACGATGTTGCGCCAGTTATCATCGAATATGACATGGATAGTAGCTCCCGCAAACCCCCTACTCCGTCCCGTGTTTCAGACTACGCCAATCCAGAAGACCTTGGTGCTACGGAAATGATATCTATAGGTCAGAAGGACGTCGATTATCGTACTGCAGACTATGTTAATATGGATGTGCAACGATCTAATTCTGGTCCCGTTGTATTATCAACAGAAAAAGAAAATAAAGATGTTCCTACTTCAGAGTCTCCGCGTACTGCAGCATCCGAAATTTTTAGTGAATGTAAGTTTTGTGCATTATCTAGCTTTGTTTGGGATAATCTGATTGGAAAATTTTCTGGTCGTATTCTAGCTGTGTTCATAACTAGGTTCATGTTGGGGACGTTAGATCCCCAGAACTCACTTGGGAAAGGACCTAATTTTGTAATTTTATTTAGTTTTCACGCCAAAGGCGCTCTTGTCACCTTCATCTCTTATTTCCCACTGGCAAATATCTTAAATACTATTGATCCGTTGCGTCTTTTAATATGGTATTTGGTAGCTCTCCTCAAGGACGGTTTTGTACTGTATATATACGTTTTGAATTGTGTTTGTTTTCACCGCTCGTTTCTGGCTGTTTGCAGAATATACTTCCCCATTCCAAGCTTGAACTTCTCCCCTCTAGTTAGCGGGGCTGGGAGGCATCAATAGCTAGCTTACTGGTCTTTGGTCACCGAGTCTTGTTTCTCGTTCGCAGATTAAGTGAACTCGTGATAGCTTCAACCTTTACAGTTCATTTTTAGTGCAGCGAAGTTTTCTATTGATTTTTATGAGTAGTAATCGATAAACATATCGGACTTAAAGTTTACTTTTTGAGGTTATGTATTCAGTTGGTTAGGTTGGTGGCATTTACGACAAATAAATTAGTAACAGGAACGAGTGAGTAGATAATCCGCAAGCAGACTATCTATTTTTCGGTATTCCAAACACATATTTCATAACTTTTTTGCTTCCAAATTTGACTTCCAAGTTAATGAATGGTAGAAAGTGATTAGATACCCGACCACAGTTTGCTTGAAACATTAGTTAGGATTTCCACCTTATAGTTATTGCTTACTTTGAATTTTACTTAAGCTGTTTGCTGTGCATAGCATAATCACCATCGGTTTACTTGGTCTTCTAATAATGTTATATATTCAGTTCAATGTGCATTGCACATGCTAATAAGTTTACATTCGTTCTTTTATTGTTCCTTCCATATCTTCAAGATTTCTACCGTTTTCGCTAATTTAATTGTTTTTAATTGCCTTTGATTCATAGTATCATCAAACAAATCCACAACAATACTCAGTATGATTGATTTCCGCACTGTGGCTGTACTTGGGCGTGGTCATTTCGGCAAAGTATTGCTATCTCAATACCACCGAGATAATAAGTACTATGCTATAAAATCTTTAAAGAAGGCGGAGATAATCTTTCGTAATGAGGTCGATACATTATTGACAGAAAAACGCATTTTGCAAATCATTACCGATGCACAACATCCTTTCCTCATAAACTTGATTGCCTGCTTCCAGACAAAGGTATGTCCTATTTTTCATTTATATTTCAGTTAGTCTTAACCATAGTTCATGTAGAATCTTGTGCAAACATGTATCCGTCCAGGTTGTCACACCACATGAGGGCAGCCTGCTTGAATACCTGAGTTACCTGTTACCGCCATCTGGATATTCCAACAAGTTATCTGTTTTCTTGTTTGTTTTAACACATCATTATGCCTATTTGTCTCATAACCTATTCAGGTGCGTTTGTGAAAAGTTTACTACTTTTCGATGCACAACTTACAAAAGAGCCTAATCCGAGACATCGTGGTTGCCGGAAATGTGCATCGAAAATAATATAAATTATTTAGATGTCGATTCTTGAACTGCTAACATATAACTGGTGACCACTAAATATTTATCGGAAGGGTCAGTCAAGAAATAAGGAAAAGAGAATTGTCGAAATACTTTGTACTGAGAATTCTGTATTGTACCAAAAATGTAATTTTGAATAAAGCTATAAATAATAATAATATCAACAAAAAAGGAATGGAGAACACTCAATTTGAACTGCAGTGGGTATCAAAGAATAAGAGAAAGTACAGAAGGAAGAAAACAGATGAGAGAATTATTAGTTACTTACGATACTTAGATAGTTATAGGTAATTCATTCATATATACATTCAAATATGTATTATAAGTATTGCGGGGGTCTCAATCTGTAAGTTTTAACCTATCCACACGATCTTTATTAACAATTGATAACTTGATAGATTGGTATCATATCTTAACATGTTCTTTCCCAGTTATTTTCCAACATACTCTATGCTACCCAACACTGCATATTCGTTTATGTGGTGGTTAAGCATAAGTAGTACAGGTGGAGATTTGTAGCTCAGGTGGATGATCTAAGTGAGGTTTTTTTCTCTGAGCTGGATTGTTTGGTCGTGGAGCTTTCATTGTTCTTCTGAACGACATCATCAGCACAAACTTCGGGTAGAAGTGAAGTGCTCAAATTCCTTCACATATGACTCACAGCTTGTCCTGTAGACCCCGATATTGATTGGTTATTGTTGTTGGTCTTTAACCTGTCACTGTCTACTTCTCTATTTTGGTTGCATCTTCTTGGTCCTATATTTGTCCATGATTTTTCTGATTGGTTGATACGTCAGATTCATTTCAATGTGTTTGCTGATTGACCAGAGTTCCAAGCTTCTAAAACTTCGTTGGTGTTTTTAGAATTGCCTCTATCCAAGGTCTCAACATTTTTCCAGTCAAATTTGTATTCACAGTTGTCCACATGCATTGATATAAGCGAGGACATGCCATGGCATTTGACTGCTAATTGTTGTTCGTGCAGGCGAAGGTGAAGGGAGCGTCCACTTTGTCCAATATAGTGATTTTCCCAGTTGAACCTTAATTTTGTGGATGATATTCGAATTTTTCTTCCTTCGTCATTTCATCATTTGGTTTACATAGGATTGGTTAAAGTGATTTTGCTAATCTATGTGCTACACTTAATGCAGACGGTTCCACTTAAGTAGAATATGTCCTAAACAGCTCAGTTGATGGAGATATATAATGTCATCAATATATTTTCTCTTTTTACTTTTAATCCACCCTATTTATACAGTACTTCCAAGACACATGTGAACACATACTTGTAGCTTACTTGTGTTTTTTACTTTTATATCCAATGATTCACAGATATAGAGTGAGAGCTACTTTTTCACTGCTTACCCTTTATGTTTCAGTTTTTCGTGTATTGTATCTCTTAGTTTCGTTAATAATCAATAGTCGTTTCGTTGTTCATCTATCGTATTGTCCCCAAGATGTTAGTTAATTATCACTTATTTTCAATACTTTCCCAGTTATTGTTTTTTAAATATTATTTCTCAGGTCAACTTATTTTGATTTAAGTAATCTCCATTCACTGCTCCAAAAATGCTCATCTAAACAACTTGATTTATTACCCTTTTCTAGTTAGGCACATTAAAACTGGTGACAAATGTTACTTCCACTCGATCTCTGGTTTACCTGTTAGCTTATTGCATAGTAAGGCTAACAAATGAGGTCACAATTGGGCAGTTCTGAAACGAAGCTGACCCAGATATTGCTTGGTAAGATTTACGAACTGCTGTAGTAACACCAGCGACATCTATTATTGATTTAAACCAAAGGGTCACGGAAAACCAGTTCATTTCTGCTAAGTCTATTGCGCTGATAGATTCTCGTAAACTCAGGCTCTGAACACGATTGAAAGCGAAAACAAATAATCTGAATGGAAAATCGACCTCAGTCCCCAACTGCTAGTGAGGCTGGAAACAATGTAACTAGTCAAAAGCAAGGAGAGTAGCAGATCCTAGTAGATTAACCTCAAAGATCTCCAAGAATGGTGGTCCAGTTTCAACAGTTACATCACCTGCGATCAACGGTGGTCTTGAGTGCTGTTAGAGGTGTGAAGGCGCTTATCACTTCCTGGTTGCCCACACCGTGGAAGGGTTCTTCTGGAGGTACCTGAGAAGGAAATTGGATTAGAGGTGGTCTGTAACGCTTCCAGAGCTACTGCCGGTCCCAAGCCCAGGTAAACGAGGAGAGTTGGGCATGGGGTTAGCGACCCCATACCGTAGGAAACTAAATCACGGGAGAGATGCTGTTATACTCCGGTCACGAAGAGGAAAATGCTCCACACACTCAGGGAGTCGCTCTTATGCTGTCCAAAGTAGCACGAAATGCACTTCTAGGATGGGAATCTCACGGATCCAGAATCATCAAAGCATCATTCAAAACAAAGAAGGAGGGGATCACAATGAATATTATCCAATGTTATGCACCCACCAGTGATAGCAACGACGAAATCAAAGATCAGTTCTACGAGCGGCTGCAGTCAATCATTGAGAAATGCCCAAGAAAGGACCTAACTATTCTGACGGGAGATCTAAGTGCCAAAGTCGGAATAGACAACACCGGATACGAAGATATTATGGGACGACATTGACTGGGAGAGAAAAACGAAAATGGAGAAAGATTTGCAAATCTATGTGCATTCAACAAATTGGTCACAGGTGGCACAATATTTCCACACAAACTTATACACAAAGCTACATGGATCTCACTGGACCACACCACAGAGAACCAGATAGATCATATTTGCATCAATAAAAAGTTCCCAAGGACAATGAAAAATGTGAGAACCAGGAGAGGTGCTGACGTAGCTTCAGATCACCACCTAGTTGTGGCCAATTTAAAACTGAAGCTAAAAAAGAACTGGACAACTGGACAAACAGCAATTCAAACGTTCAATACAGCCTTCCTTCGAGATACTGACAAACTCAATGAATTCAAGATAGCTCTCAACAACAGGTTCCAAGCCTTACAAGATCTACTGAAAGAAGAAGAAACTACTATGGAGGAAAACTGGAAAGTATCAAAGAAGCATTAACTTCAACGTGTCAAGAGGTTCTGGACCTCAAGAAGGAGTGGATCTCTATAGAAACATTGGACAGGATCAAAGAAAGGAAGAACAAGAATACAGCAATTAACAACAGCCGAACACGAGCAGAAAAATTTCAAGCACAAGCTGAATACATAGAAGCAAACAAGCAAGTGAAGAAAAGAATTAGAGCCGACAAGAAGAAATACGTGGAAGAACTAGCAACGACGGCGGAATAAGCTGCAAGAGAAAGAAATATGAAACAACTTTACGATACAACGAAAAAAGTAGCAGGGAAATACAGTAAACCAGAGAGACCGGTCAAAGACAAAGAAGGCAAGTTAATCATTGAAATTCAACAACAACGGAACAGATGGGTAGAGTACTTCGAGGAACTCCCGAATAGGCCGGCTCCAATGAATCCACCGGACACCGAAGCAGTGCACACAGATCTTCCTATAGGTGTCAATCCACCAACGACGGAAGAAATTAGAATGGCCATCAGACAAATCAAGAGCGGTAAAGCAGCAGGACCCGACAATATAACAGCTGAAGCACTGAAGTCAGACATCGAATTAACTACAAACATGCTTTACCGTCTATTCAAAAAGATTTGGGAGGAGGAACAAGTGCCGATGGACTGGAGAGAAGGACACCTCATCAAGATTCCGAAGAGAGGAGATCCGAGCAAATGTGAAAACTACAGAGGCATCACACTACTGTTTTTAACAGAGTGTTGCTGAACCGGATGAAAGATACGGTAGACACACAACGGAAAAACCAAGGTCCTCAAATACAACACGGAGAACAGCAATTCAATCACTCTTAATGGCGAAACTCTGGAAGATGTAGAATCCTTCACATATCTGGGAAGTATCATCGATGAACAAGGAGGATCAGATGCAGACGTAAAGGTGAGGATTGGCAAAGTAACGATCGCATTCCTATAATTGAAGAACATATGGAACTCAAAACAACTTTCAACCAATATCAAAGTCAGTGTCTTCAATAGGAATAATAATGAAAGCGAATTTCTTGAAAAATGTGAACTATCGCACATACCATTGGGACTTTTTAAGCTATATCATAGCGAGTGAGCCAACTCAATTTACCAAGTGTGCCCGACCGTTGTCTACGCAAGATGCTCAATATCCGATGGCCGGATAGCATCAGTAATAACCTACTGTGGGCGAGGAAGAACCAGCTTCCAGCTGAAGAGGAAATTAGGAAAAGACGATGGAAACGGATAGGACATACATTACGCAAATCATCAAACTGCATGACGAGGCAAGCGCTAACTTGTAATCCTGAAGGGAAACGGAAAAGAGGAAGACCAAAGAACACATTGCGTGTGGGATTGAGAGTAGATATGAAAAATAACTGGAAAGGATTGCCCAGGTTAGAGTTGAATGGAGGATGTTGGTGGGTGGTCTATGCTCCTTCACGCGGAGTAACAGGCGTAAATAAGTAAGTAGTAAGTGGTCTTAATGACCTGAGAGCGTGACCGCAGTGCCCAAGGGACAACTGCTTGAGGTCGGTCACACACGACCTTTTTGTGATTAATTTTCGTGTTAGCTCCGTACTTGTTGAAACCTTACCGCCGGAGATGGATATCCGTGGGATAAGGCGAAGTGTGCATGATTAGGATCGACATTTTATAACCACACCGCTCCTTGTGGGAAGGCAGCGTCGCTGTCATACCGGCGGTTTGAAGGAAATATCTTACTGGTGTCACACCTCTGTACAGTCTGCAGTACTACTTCGCCTTCGGACATTGGGTTTGTTGCTTTTAGTCTTACCGTTCTTGAACCGAGCTGTCTGGCATGGTAGGACCTCGAGGAAAGATTGTTCGAGTATGCCTCGATTGTTTCATGATGATGGGCAAGCCCGACCACTGCGTCAAGGTAGCAACAACGGTCGGGACCACCTGCGATACTAATAAGAGGCTGGGGATTGAACATAATCCCATCTGAATGGTCGTGATCTCTGATCGTACAAGTCTACAGGATTGAACGAAAATTCTGTTGTTACAGGAATCAGATTGGCTAATGTTACTATCTAAAATATCGGCCTCAACATCCAGCGCTTGACTAAGCCGTATCAAGGACATACATCAACCTTGTTTAGGCTCTCAGCTGCACTTTTTTCATCTTCACTTAATTTCACCATATGATTTTTTAGAAATAATCCTTTCATCGTTCAAATATTCGACAATATATCCTTTATCAGGAAATTCAGTTATTGAATTAAGATCTCCAGATACTGACAGTAGCCAGTCTCTTGAACGGCACTGTTAGCATGTTTGGGATTCAATACTATCCCGCTTCATGACTGGTCTGTGCAAACGCCTGAAGTAGTAATTAACGTGGCTGAGCGCATATACCACTTCTCTTATCGTGAAAGTCTCATCATCTCTACTGATTTGGTGCATGACTTAATCTCGGTACACACTCAGACAGCTTAGTGGCTCTTTGCCAAATCGCGTCACTTATGATTTGGGATAGATATCCGTCTGCCAACAAATGGACAAGTTTCTTGTGCAGCAGTTCACTCTGTTCCACATTACTGATATGTGGAGCACGAGCATTAAAAATGGGGGGGGCTATTTGTGGTTTACTAGTATTCGATCTCAGGTGCGACCTTCGAAGCGTCGCTCATGTAGTTTGGGACAACTGAGTGATGAACAGTGTCGAGGTTAGACATGGGTACTGGGTAAAGACGGCGAATTGACTGACGAAGTAGTGAAACTTCATGAACTGAGGTGATTAGGAGATGTATTTTGTATTTGAAACCAATGGCAACTTGGATGGACGATGTAGGAGTAGTATGCTGGAAGGAGGTTAGGTGGATGGAGAGCACGTAGTTGGTGTTTGTGGGATTACGGTAACCAATGGTTAGAGACTCCGAGTGACGTGACTGAAAACCGTTGTTAGTGGCTCAGTTGCATTCACTGTTTGACTTCCATAAGTTCTTGAATCCCGACCTTTCCTTACACTTTTTTCAGTACCTAATCGTTTCTACTTGTACTACCAATGCTACTGATATCGTTACTACTTCTACTACTCTGGTATCTGTTTCCAAATAATTTCATCTCACTGTGCTAATGATGTATGTTAACTGGAACCAATGCACGTATGTGTCTGGTTCGATAATATTCATATTTTTCCGGTTGTTTGTTGCGCCCATTAAACTGTGTACCATAAATTAGATTTTCTCAGTCGCGGTAAACGCTAAACCTTACATTGACCAATTTCGCCTTTATTATTATCAACGGCCACTGAAACGTGATGGGTATTTAGACAATAGTGAATTTTGATTAAGCTTAAAAATATACAGAACAAAATGTCATATTATTTATCAAACTTAGCTCTCAAGCAAAGTACTAGCCGGCAAACGTACTGACATAAGTTTTGTTTACTAACAGTTGGAAAGAATGGCAAGCAACCACAAATCAACAAACATGCTAATTAATAATAATAATAATAAGTTTAACAATGAACAATGTAAATACTGGAGGACATTCATGAATTGGGATGTGACTAAGTATTTGGAAGTCATTGACAGTTTTTACAGACATATTCAAAATATGTGAGCTTCGAAAATTTTGTAGACACTTATCTCAATAGCTTGACTCTGATGGCCTGTGATGGAACTAATATAAGCTTTTTTCTTAAAATGTATCAACAAGAAATATTGTATGAAGCTTTTGAGTATACTGTTATGAAAAATTTATATACAATTCCCATACTTCACCTATTGAATCTGTCTACAAAAATATAACATTCAAATTGAATATTATAATTAATTTACCACCTCTTTCACACACAGCTACTGCTTTATACAACACTTCTCAAAAGATTTAGTGAGATGGTTATATAAGAAAATTTTTCGAATTAAGCATTCTCTAGCCAACTGGAAAGAGTCATCCAGAGATAACATCTGTAAATCTATGTCTTTTGTACACCTACTAATGGTAAAGTATACTATATTTCAAATAATTTTATTTAATGTTAACGTTTATTATATATTACTAATGAATTCTGTTTTCTGTGTTGGTTCACATGAACTCAATTCTATTTCTTCTGGCATAAATCATTATTGATTTTTAGTTATTGTTATTTCTTGTCAGATATAACTTATTATTTACTTTGTTTTCATTTGTTATCAGGAACACGTAATGTTTGTGATGGAGTATGCACAAGGTGGTGATCTCATGTCACTTATTCAAAAAAATGTGTTTAAAGAACCTCAAGCTGTGTTTTATGCTGGATGTGTTGTTTTAGGTATCGAATTCCTTCACTCAAAAAAAATTGTTTACCGGTAATCACATTTGTATTTTTCTGTTCATCATAGTCACATTTACAGTCTTAATTTCATATCATTTGATTTTATTTATTTACAAGAATAGATTATTCAATTGAATCAAAATAATATATTTGTAAATACACCAATGAGTAGAGAAATGAAAGTTTTCTGACGTTTCGGAACTCAGTGTAAGCCACTTCTTCAGAGAACAAATTTCATTTTGCTACTCATTGGGATATTACAAATATATTATTTTTATAAATAACAACCTACCCAAATGCCCAATTTATTTGAAATTATCAAGTCAAGCCTTGGTAATAACTCCTAAAAAATTATTCAATTTGTTATTTTTCTTAATGATACAAATAGAATGATAGCCACAGAATGTCTACCCTCCCATTGGTTGTAAACACAGACACAATCAATAACTTATCCATAATTGATTAACACTCATAGATTTTTCGAGTTTTTACACACACACATTCACTAACTTCCCAGTGTGCTTTGAATCTTGAATGCTTACGGATTTTATTATTTATTAACAATACACTTTCCCGACAACTGTTCTGGATTTTGAATATTAATTATAGTCACAGTACTAGTAGGGAGAGTTGAGTCGCTAAAATACTCAGTTAACGGGATATCATATATTGAAGACAAATGAATAGGAATTAACGTCTACAATTGTCCCATGTACCGTGATTTTCTTCGATACTCCAAGAGAACTCACTCGATTTTTCAGTTTAAGTTAATACTTTCGCAGATAGTGGAAACGTCATTATAATCTATCACCGATTCAAATTTGGTTCCCAATAGATGCTGTAATGCTGAGATACACCACCTTACTTTCTCTTATTTACACTCAGTTATAAGTTGGTGGTGTAAAATGCCATTAAACCTAAATAGATCATCGATATATCGAAGATAGTGTATTATCTAAAACTGAAATGTAACTAACATACTTCCTACATGATTGCTTACTCATCTATTACTATTCATCTCATTACCTTACTAACACGAGTTTAATTTTTAGGTTCTGGTGTTCTAGTGCTTTATTTACTAGTTTGTTTAACTTTATACAATACCTATTTGTTTATTTATTCATTTATTCAGTGTTCGTGCAATCCATGAGAAACATGTAACATAAATAACATAGATTAAATTTATTGTGCAAATTCGATCTTAATCATAATCTTTTCAGTTTAATTATAAAAACCAAATGTATAAAGTTACTTTTTCTGTCTAGATTTATCTAAAACTTTGTTCACATTATTCAAATACATTGTTTATGTCAAATCTTACTTTCATTGACTACATATAAGGTTATAAAGTTTTATCAATTTATTTTGATATGATTTAATCTTATTATTAGACAATAAATAAGAACTTTCGTCTAAATTTGAACGAACAGTTTCAAAATATTTGGGCGCCGAGTTAATGTGAGTCATTAAAGAGGAAGAATTTACTTCAAATTCTTTCGCTGAGATTTTACAAATACATTCTTCCTCCTTAATGACTTATTATTAGCCATTTTGAAATGATATTAGTTTTGTCATTTATTGAACAAGGATTTATTGGTTCATCAAAATAATTTCACAGAAGTTAATCACTAAGTTGATTATTCATTCAACTGTAATAAAATCAATGTTAAGTTTGTTTTATTGTTCTTAGCACTGTTCAAATTCTATTGATCAAATTATAATTTGGCCATTAATCTGATTGATCTAATACGGTAGTCTGGCATTTAAACATACTAGCAATCGGTAGTGTGAATTATTTTTAAGGTCATCCATTCTGAATGATTAACTATTGTCTAGTTGTATTTTATTAGTTTTGACAACAACAAAAATTCTTACCAATTTGTAAACATCATTAACTATGACAAATAATAAGCAAATATTATTCACTGTTGTTTGACTTCAATATTCAGATTGGAATAACAAATATATAATATTGTAGAAATTTCTCTGTTTAAAATGTTAAGTTAAGGTTTCTGATGAACTGATTCACTTTGTATATTTGTTGATGCAAACAGGAGATAAAACAATGTTTACTGTTTACA